TTTCCTGGTATAGACCATTGGCAGCATGCCAGGAAATTTCTTTGAGTGATAGTACAGTAGTAAATTAAGTCAGAATACTAGAGTTTTAATTCTGGAGTGCTGTGGAACCTAATTAGGACAAGCCACCTAATTTCTCTAGACTTCGGTTTCCTTTTCTATATTAATGTTGTTGTTGTAAGTGCCATCTAGTTGGTTCCGACTCATTCAAACCCTGTATAGGGTTTCTGAGGAATAGCTAGTGGGTGTGAACCGCTGACATTTCAGTTCAAACAAACTAGTGCATTATCCTGCAATTCTACACCAGGACTCCATAAGATAGGAACAATATTTGGGTCTAAAAAATATTAATACTTGGTATGTTTAAATCAAAGTTGGTTTGATGATTCAGATGAATAGGGTATAGTACACTATGCCTCTTCCTTTAAAATGATTAGTAGCTGTTTCAAGTTCTACACTCGTCCCTTCCTTTCTAGACTCTCCATACTGCCTACTTTTTGCAGTGAGCAGTGACAGGGCTGCAGTATAGTTAGCTACTACAAACCAAAAAAATCAAGGCCTGTGGTAGCCACAGTGATAAAAAGTTCCCAACAAAGGAGATCTGATCAGACTTCATCAGAAGAATGAACTTCCAGAAACAGCACTGAGCTAGGAGACAAGAGACCTTCCTTCTGACTCATTTCATTAAATCTTAGTAGAGAACCTAGTACTGACCACTCTCATATTCTATCTGAATTTTCTTCCTAATAAGGCGGCTACCTGCCTCAGGTTTTAACAACAAAAAATATTTAACTTCTATTAATGGGAAAGGGAGTTAATAACCATAGGGGTCACAGTGACTTTGAATTCCAGCTTTACCACTTCCTGGTTCTCAACTTATGATTAAGTTATTTGACCTTGGTGTTCTGAGCAATAAATTAAGATAAACCATATCTAACTCATGGCATTGTCAGGAAGATTAGCTAAGGATTCCGAGTATTTTAATGCCCTTTCTCTTCCACAAAAACCTTTTTAACTTGGCTCAAATCATATTCCTCTGTGAAATCGGACTGCTGTAACCAGTCATCACTCTAAATCTTACAGAATTCTGGGGTTTTTTCCCCCATTCCTTGCATTTTACTTCATCTAAGGAGCTCTGGTAGCAAAGTGGTTATGAGTCGGGCTGCTAACCTCAAGGTCAGCATTTTGAAACTACCAGCTGCTCCACGGGAAAAAGATGAGGCTTTCTGCTCCCGTAAAGATTTACAGCCTCGGAAACCCTGTTCAGGGTCACTATGGGTCAGAACCAACTCGACAGCACTTAACAACAACAAAAGATTTACAGCCTCAGAAACCCTGTTCAGGGTCACTATGAGTTGGAACCGACTCCACAGCACATAACCGCCACCACCAGTCCTAATAGACCACAGATTGCTGAAAGCAGGGATTTCATCTTGCTTTGTATATCCACAACCCCTAGCACAACTGAGAAGGTATCAGAAAATGCTCATCGAAGGACTAACTGTATAGTCACCTAAGGCCCACAGTGTACAGGCAAGCAGGAAATGTACTCACAAGCCAAGGCAGGAAGGTGGAGATCTCTAACAAACTTGTTAGCAGAAATACTACCAAAAATGCCCAATCGATGGATCCTTCTAATTCTTCAAAATTGTATAATGAAATTCATTAAGATAGTTTCTGAAGAAAACTTTTCAAGAGCTAATAAGCATGAAACACATGGTGCCTAAAAGCCTTGTTTGGCCTGCTTTAGTGCTTGCTGTATTGGAATGTACATGTCCTCCTAATAGACAACATGTTGCACAAAGAAAACCACATGTGCCTCCAGCAGCTTGTGATTTCAGACACAAACATGCTGTTATTGACATACATCATACCCTAAAAATTCTCCAGGTATAGAAACCAAGACAAAAATGCTAAATGAGTAATTCAAAGCACCCTTGAACCCAGCCTCTCTACTACCCTTGTCTCCTAGCTTACCTGTGATCTCCTCCCACCGTGATGCACTTGTGGCCATCTGACACAGCCCTACTAACCACCTCAGCCAGTTCCTGGTTGGCAAGGCCCACTGAGCGTGGATTCACTATCAGGTTGTTGTAGAGCTCATCTTTAGGAACTTGTGTAAAACTCATATCTCCAAAATCTTTTATATGGCAGCCTAGAAACAAATGAAGGATAATAAGATTAATTATGTGAGCTGTCCCAACTCTTAAATTCAAGCCTCAACTTGCAACATTGAAAAATTCTACGGGAAAAATACTGAATGGTACAGAAAGCATCAAAAGACAATGGAAAGAATAAAGAGTTACTGTACCAAAAAGAAGCAGTCAATGTTTAACCATGTAAAGAGGTAGCATGTGATTAAGAGTTGATGGTACTGAAGGAAGAAGTCCAAGAAGCACTGAAGGCACTGGCAAAAACCTGGAAACAATTTGTATTCCAGAAATTGACAGCATCTTTCAACAGACTGATGCAGCTCTGGAGACACTCACTCATCTATGCCAAGACATTTGGAAGACAGCTACCCAGTCAAACAATTGGAAGAGATCCATATTTGTGCCCATTCCAAAGAGAGGTGCCCAAATGGAATACAGAAATCACTGAACAGTATCATTAATATCATGCAAGTAAAATTTTGCTAAACATAATTCAAAAATGACTTTAACAGTAGATCGACAGAGTACTTCCAGAAAGTCAAACTAGATTCAGAAGAGGATATGGAATTATAGATATTAATTGCTGATACCAGATGGATCTTGGTTAAAAAAGAATACCAGAAAGATGTTTGTTGTTGTTGTTGTTAAGTACCGTTAAATCAGTTCCAGTTCATAGCAACCCTTTTTAGTATTTTGAGGAGCGGCTGGTGAGTTTGAACTGCTGACCTTGCAATTAAATGACCTAGTAGTCCACACCAAAGGACTCCTTTCACCATACTTACATTGTTCAGTCTGTATGTGGAGAAGCTGGATTATATGAAGAAGATCATGGCATCAAGATTGGAGAAAGACTCATTAATAACCTGTGATATGCAGATGATACAACCTTGCTTGCTGAAAGCGAAGCCTTAAAATACTTACTGATGAAGATCAAAGACTACAACCTGTAGTATGAATTGCACCTCAATGTTAAGAAAAAAAAAAAAAAAAAATCCTCACAACTGGACCAATAAATAATATCATGAAAAATGGAGAAACACTCATGGAAGCAGCAATCAAAAAAAATCAAACAATATATTGCATTAGGCAAATCAGCTGCACAAGACCTCTTTAAAGTATTAAAGAGTATAGTTGTCAGTTTGAGGACTAAGGTGCACCTGACCCAAGTCATGGTATTTTCAATTGCCTTATGTGCATGGTATTTTCAATAACCTCATATGGATGAAAAAGCTGGGCAGTGAATAAGGAAGATCGTAGAAGAATTGATGCCTTTGAGCTGTGGTGTTGGAGGAGAATATTAAAAGTGCCATGGACTGTCAAAAGAACCAATAGATCTGTTTTGGAAGAAGTGCAGCCAGAGTGCTCCTTGGAGGCCAGGATGGCTAAGTTTCGTCTCCCATACTTTGGACATACTGTCAGGAGGGAACAGTCGCTGGAGAACGATGTCATGCCGGGTAAGATGGAGGGTCAGAGAAAAAGAGGAAGATCCCCAACGAGCTGGATCAGCCAGGTGGCATCATTGATGGTGTCAAGTGTGGCAGCGGTAGTGAGGTTGGCCCAGGATCGGACATTTTTCGTTCTGCTGTGCATAGAGTCGCTATGAGTCGGTTCAGACTCAATGGCACCTGACAACAACAATGTGAATGTGAAACTTGGGCAATGAATAAGACTATAGAAGAATTGATGCATTTGAGTAATGGTGCTGGAGATAAATATTAAAAGTAGCATGGATTGCCAGAAAAACAAACAAATTTATGTTGGAAGAAGTACAGCCAGAATATTCCTAAAAAGTCAGGATGGTAAGACTTCATTTCTCATATTTTGGGCAATGTTTCATTCAGTTGTACATAGGGTTGCTGAGTCGGAACTGATTCAATGGTCCCTAACAACAACAAGAATCCCAATTCTTACTATGCTAAGCCACAAATAATAAACTATGACAAAGTACACATAATAATTTTGTCACCAAAGGTAAAATTTTAAATGTCATATGACTGTGTGGCAGGATTATCTCAGTCCTCGTTGTGATCACGGGAAGCTGAGAATTCTGAGCACCATTCTACTGATGCCAGTAGCCAGGAAATGCAGGTCCAGCATATGTTCAGAACAAAATGGGAACTGATTTTGGTGGATAGCAGAGGGCAGAATCTGCCATATGACATTTGATCAATTCTGCCATAACCTTTAAGTGATTATCACCTCAAAATATTAAAGCTTAAGTTGCCCTTGTTGTTGTTGTTAAGTGCTGTCGAGTTGGTTTCTATTCATAGCAACTCTATATAGGGTTTCTGAGAAGCAACTAGTGAGTTTGAATTGACAACCTTGCGGTTCTAAACCGACTTTGCAGTCCAGTGTATTAACCAACAGCGCCACAACAGGACTCCCTAGTTAGCCTTGTTGTCGTCAAGTCTGTTCCAAGCCATAGCGACCCTGCATAGGGTTTCCAAGGAGCAGCTGGTGAGCTTGAACCAGTGACCTTGTGGTTCAAACTGACTTTTCAGTCCAGCGCCTAGGTAACACCAGTTACCCTAGGATTGCCATTTTCTATTTTTAACTATTCTAACTATTCTAATTAATTACAGCACTGAACCAGTAAATCCCATCCTGATGTAGCCTCGTAGGAGCATTTTTTGTAGCTAATGGTATAGGACTGGAGGATAATGTGCTGCAAGGTCAGTTTGAGCTGCAAGGCTGGTGCTTCAAACCTACCAGCCGCTCATTAAGTTTCTGCTCATCAGAAACCCTATACACTTAAAAATAACAGCAATGCCCACTATGCCAGCAGTATTGGAGCCCCCAGAGGACTATAGACTAAACTCAGGACTGGTTTCTAAGGGACAAACAAGGGCTGAAAGAAAATGGACATGGCATGGTTGCAAGCAGTTAAGCAAGTGAATAGTGGAACAATATGATACAAGATTGTAGAAAACACGAATGACAACCTACAGACCAGAGTTTTTGAGGTAAGTGGGGAGATTGATGGGAGGTTAATCTATACAAAGCAAGCTGAACTGGTTAATACTGAAGTTGTTACTTTTATCAGAGTGTGGTGGCACTTAATTCTCATTCAAAGGGCAGGAGAAATGGTCTAATTATGAATCTCAGAGTTTCAGGAAAAACTGAAGAGAACAACTATTGCAATTTATAAGAGATCTCTGCCCATCATACTTGAGGAACTGTCCCTTTGTCCTTTACTCTGTCCTTCAGATCAACTCATCTGCAAATCCAGGTCAGATGAGTCTGCTTCATTATTGCTCTTTCCTCAAGACGGCACTGTAGTATACAAGAGGAACCTGAAACTCTGAGGAATCTCTTAGGTCAAATAACTAGAAACCATTTGAAAGGACTCTCGTTTTCCATTTGCACTGACAAAAAGCAAACTTCTTGTACATTGGCCCAAGTTGCTTTTTTCCTCCCCAGTGCTTGTGATAAAAACAGTCTCTCTCACTTGATCTTTTAGGTCCAGATGTTACCTTTGGTCTTGAGAAACCTCTCCTGGCTCCAGTAAAGTGGAACGAAAGAACCCATGTGAATCAACAGGATGATGCAACCAAGCAATAGAGAAGAACTCAGAACAGCCCTATGCACTTGGAGTTCAGGGCCCTGATCATTAGTGAATGAATGCTCGAAAGAAGCCAGTGACCAGAAAGAAGGAAATGGAGCATGGTAGTTGGCTCCACATAGCATGATGTACGTGGTAGCTAGCCTGCTTTACAGATATCCGCAAATCCCCATGCCCTCTGCTCTGCTAGCATTCCTACCCACACTGAGCAGAGGAGGACACCACCGCTCTCCAGAGTTAAATAGCTCCAACTGTAATAGCTGTTTTAGAGCATGCTTGAAACACTTTTGTTAGAAACTGACATGACCAGGTGTTTTTCAGGAGCGTCAACACACCCCACTGCCCCTACTGCCCTGACTTCTGCTTATTGATGGCCCCATCTCTACTAGCAAAGTTTTCAGCAACTCAGGAGGAGAAGACTGAAAGAAGACTCCATAAGTGGTCCACTGGCAGAAAAAGAGAGTTGGAGAAAAGAAGCCCTTTCAAATTGTCTCTGAATAGGATTGAAATGTTTATGACTTCAGGATCAAATCAGTAAAACATGAAAAAAAACTAAGATTGTGAGATCTCTGTTGATGCTGAGAAAGTACTAATAGCTTTTTAAGTTACACAGTCAAATCATATGTGGCAGTTTTGTTGCTGTTGTTGGTATATGCCGTGGAGTCGGTTAAACTCATAGCGACCCTATATAGGGTTACCAAGGAGCAGCTGGGGTTTGAACTACTGATCTTGTAGTCCAGTGCATTATTCTACAGTGCCACACCAGCCCCAGGCAAAGAGAATTCCCAGTATTTGGAAGGAATGTACCTGCTAATTCCTAGAACCTCAGCTGTACCAGTGTGTTCAAGCCCTAATTTCATCGTGACCCTTGACGTGAGTTCAGGTGGCATCTTAAGTACTCCACAATCATTTTGTTCCCCCTAAATTTTCTTTTACCCTACACACTACAAAAAGTTGAACTGCCAAAAGTGCTGGGGAAGTAGAATGCGTGGCTTTGCCCTCAGGCAGAATGTATTTGAAAGTACATTAAAATCACTTCCAGTCAGCCCAGAAAGGGGTAGTCTCCCTCTAGGGACTTGCCTGCGTGCACCCCTTAATAGAAATTGGGGTACCAGGGTTGCATGGTTATGAATGATACCATGACTGTCCGAAGGCCTCATAGCCAATCCTGTAAACTTTTCTAATCTGCAATAGTACCCGGCCCAGTTCTGTAGGCCAGCCTGAGGCTGGGAGTAACAGATGTGCTGCTAGTCCGGTTCTGTGAAGAAATCTCTGTTCTCTGTGGTCACCAGTACGGTCTCCGAACGATGATACCCCTCATCCAGATGATGTTTCTTTGTTTTGTCTTCATCTTGTTTACGACTTATTAAAGGGATCTATATAAGGTGCTCTGGTAGCGTAGTGGTTATGAATCGGGCTGTGAACCTCAAGGTCAGCAGT